GTGTTTGTCGAAAAATATGTATTTATCTCCTGATTTTTAGCCATTTAAGATGTTGCTGTATTTGAAAAGTGCTTATTTGATGTTTATTTGTTCAGTACAGATAATCATTGTCCCAGATAACCAAAGTAAGTTTCAGATGCTAACACTATTTTCCGGCCGCCATATTTTACCTATTTAGACCTGAAATCAACATTTTTGAGCTTATGCATTGCGTGAAATCAACATTTTGCTGTTTTCTAAATGAAATCAACATCCTTGCCGTCACGCGTTAACGTGAAATCGGCATTTTTTTACCTATGTAGACCTGAAATCAACATCATTGAGCATGAAATTGACATTTTGCTGCTTTCTAAGTGAAATCAACATCCTTGCTGTCGTGTTAATGTGAAATCAACGTTTTAACCTATTTAGACCTGAAATCAACATCACTGAGCTTATGCGCTGCGTGAAATTGACATTTTGCTGGTTTCTAAGTGAAACCAACATCCTTGCCATCACACGTTAACGTGAAATCAACATTTAAATCTTTTTTGACCTAAAATCAACATTTTTGAGCTTATACGTTGTGTGAAATTGACATTTTGCTGATTTCTAAGTGAAATCAAACTCCTTGCGGTCGCGGCAGGCTGATCCTTTGTTATGATAAACCGAGGAGAGACTTCAACTTATAACAAAGGCTTAGCTTCGTTATTATAACAGAGAATCGACTCTGTTTATCATAACAAAGGCCCGGCTTCGTTTATTTGAAGGCCTTGTGGGAAAAGGGCGTTAGGTATTTTAATCAACAATGAACTTTGTCGAAAACGCTCCAAATTTCGCATGCAGTTTTGTTTAGGTACGTTTAGCAATGTCCCGTAGTTTTTACGCTAAGCTTCGCTTTGTTTTCGAGATATTGCGTATGCAAAAACACCACTCGGCTTTCCTAGCGGCATCTTTATAAACGAAGCAAAAACCAGCGGGAAAAATACAGGACCACGTTTTTCTATTACATTGAAGACCACATACAAAAATTCAAGCCCTACTTTAATGGAAGTTTCCAACTTTCAGTGTCCATTTTGACGAGGATTTTTGTGATTTTTCTTCAACATCTACTCTAGATCTGTATGATACTGAGTCCAGCAAAACATAAACAAACGAAAACCACACAACAACAAATTCAGAGCCATCTCAAGAATGCAGATGTTTCCAGGTTTGTTAGAATACGTGCTCTGTTATCACGATTATCTTTTGTTAATCTCTTTGTATAACCACAGTGTAATCCGCTTTAGTTATCGCTTTACTGTTATACCCCAAGAATGTCATTTTGGTTTGCTACGTAGATCCGCTAAAGATACGCCTTGTTAATTATGCGTATAAATATGATTGACCAAGAGAAATAAAATCAGTGTTGTTACTTCTACTTGAGTGATACGTTGTCTTGTGTGAATACTATGGCAGCATTGCTCAGCCTAACAGGTTATGGGCCCAGGAGAGCACTCATGTTTGACAGAGATGAAAACAAGTACAAACTCTGGGAGGTGAAGTTCTTGGGCTACATGCGCCTTCAGAAGTTGCATGAAGTAGTGATGCCAGCAGAGGACGAGACAGATGTTCCCGATGCGGGAAAGAACGCGAATGCCTTTGGCAAGCTTGTCCAATGTTTGGACGATAGAAGTTTGGCCCTTGTGATCAGAGAGGCAAAAGATGATGGAAGAAAAGCCCTACAAGTCTTGCGAGAGCATTACCAAGGAAAGGGCAAGCCGCGCATCATTGCGCTTTACACTGAACTCACCTCACTAGAGATGAAAGAAGGAGTTTACGACAGACTACATCCTGCGAGCTGAAAAAGCTGCAACAGCACTGAAAGCAGCGGACGAAGTGATCAGCGATGGGTTGCTCGTAGCCACGGCCCTAAAAGGACTAACTAGTGCCTACAAAACGTTTGCCACCGTGGTAAACCAGAGAGAAACACAAATGACATTCTGCGAATTCAAGACAGCTCTCAGAAACCACAAGGAGATGGAGAAGAGCTGCAATAGAACCCCAGACAACGGCGAGAGTGACAATGTGATGACCACAAAGCAAGAATTCGAGGGAAACTGCTTTAAATGCAGCAAGAAAGGCCATAAAAGCAAGGACTGCTACTCCAAAGAGTCAGAGTAGTGTCACAAATTCAAAAACTCCACCCACAGCACAAGGGACTGTAGAAAACTGAAGCCTGCCAAAGATGCAGCAAAGGAGTCAGCAGGAAACTAGGAGAACATTAATAGCTCACATAGTTTTGCATTTACTTTTAATGAACAGGAATTAAGTACTAGAGGTAAGATAACTCCAAATCTACCATTAGATACTGGGGCACCTAGCCACATAATTATTCTAGATCGCGAGAAATTCGTAGATTTTGATGGCAAATTTAATGCCAGTAGTTACTTTATTGAATTAGCTGATGGGAGTAAGGCAAACGTGTGTATGGGCAGGGGAATGCCAAAGTTAAGCTGTATGATCCCGATGTCTTTTGTTGGAGTCGGAATTGCCTAAACGACTGTGGGCGTATGCCATCATGACTGCTGCCTACATCAAAAACCGGTGTTTTAATACGAGACTAGGCAAAACTCCATACAAGACTCTAATTGGAAAGAGGCCAGACTTGAGTAATAAGCACATTTTGGGCTCAACTTGCTACGCATATGTTCAGAACGCAAACAAGTTAGAAGCGCGAAGTAAGGAGGGGCTTTTTGTAGGCTACGACAAAGAAAGTCTGGCATATCTTGTTTATTACCCCGAAGCAAACAAAGTAGAGAGGGTGAAATGTGTAAAATTTCTAGAACAAAATGTTTGCGTGCCCAAAATAGAAGATGACGAGATTGTGTTACCAAACCCATTGACAACTGTCGACAGTGATGTAAGTCATGAACAAACAACTGAACACAGAGACTTGAATGAGAATGAAGACAGTGGGGAAGACAGTCGTTACCCCAAACAAATTCGCAACAAACCTAAGCACCTTGACGAATATGCTTTGGACAGTGACTTGGAGGATGATGTAAACTACACTGTGGATTACTGTTACCGAGTTGCGAATATACCAACGACTTAAAATGACCCCGTACAATCAAACAAGGCCACAAAATGGCAGAAAGCCATGCACGATGAGATGACAGCTCTACACGACAATGACACGTTTGAACTGGTCACACCACCGGATGGCAGACAAATAGTGGGGGGAATGAGTTTTCACAGTTAAAACCGGTCCTGAGGGACAAGAAACCCACAAAGCGCAATACGTAGCTAAAGGTTATTTGCAAATTGCCGAAATAGATTACCAGGAAACCTTTGCACCTGCAGCCCGCATGAGTTCTGTTCGAATGTTAATGCAGCAAGCAGTTCAGAATGACATGATCACGCACCAAATGGATGTCAAAACCACTTATCTAAATGCACCAATAGATTGTGACATTTATATCGAACAACCGGAAGGCTTTGAAAAAGTCGGCAAAAATGGTGAAACGTTGGTATGTAAGTTGAAGAAATCATTATACGGACTCAAACAAAGTGGGCGAAATTGGAATAACATGCTGCACAGCTATTTGTGCGAGGAGAATTTTACCCAGTCACTGGCAGATCTGTGTGTGTACACTAGAAATTCTGAGACCGATGGGTTAATCATTTTGATCATTTGGGCAGATGATATCATAATTTCTGCGACTAGTTTAGATTTGTTGAGGAGTGTAAAAGAAACCCTATGCAGAAAATTCAAAATGAAAGACCTAGGGAAACTTTCATGGTTCTTGGGAACAAATTTCAACTGCAATGAAGATTCTATTGAAATGAGACAAACACAATACATAGATAAGATTCTTTCTAAATTCAAAATGACAGATTGTAAACCAAAGTCAACTCCAAGCACCCTTGGAGTAGAAAAAGGGAGTGACGAAGAGTCACACGAATTGAATGACCCTAAGTTATATAGGGCAATTGTTGGAAGCTTAATCTATGTAATGGCAGGCACTAGGCCTGACCTATGCTATATTGTGACCAGGCTTTCACAGAACATGGCTAAATCAACTGAGTCAGACCTTAGCATGGCAAAGCTTGTGCTGAGATATCTAAAAGGCACTCGGGAACAATGCCTTAAGTTTGGAAAATCGGAGTCGCCTCTAAAACTGACGGGATTTTGTGACTCAGATTAAGGAGCATCTGTGAAAGATAGATGCAGTATAAATGGGTACAACTTTCAGTTGACCAAAAACAGTCCATTGATTTTATGGAAAAGTCGCAAGCAACAAACTGTTGCCTTATCTACTTGTGAGGCAGAGTACATCTCGCTAGCTAATGCTGCACAAGAATCAAAATTTTTGAAGTAATTGTGTAATGACATGAAGATAATGATTGAAGATGTACTTATTAATGTAGACAATCAAGGGGCTATCAACTTAGCTAAGAATCCGGTGAATCATCAAAGGTCGAAGCATATTGACATTAAGTACCATTTCATAAGATCAGAAGTACAAAGTGGAAATGTAAAGTTACAATATATCCCGACCGATAACAATGTGGCAGATATCTTTACAAAGCCCGCCACAAAAGTTAAGCTAGAAAGGTTCAAAAACTTTCTCATGGGAAGTTGAATGGCTTGTAGCATCACAGCAAGTGAGGGTGTTAGAATACATGCTCTGTTATTACGATTATCTTTTGTTAATCTCTTTGTCTAACCACAGTGTAATCCGCTTTAGTTATCGCTTTACTGTTATACCCCAAGAATGTCATTTTGGTTTGCTACATAGATCCGCTAAAGATATGCCTTGTTAATTATGC